AGGCACAAGCAATAAGAAAGTAGGGCCTAAGAAGAGACCGTTTGAATCAACAAAACATTAAGTGTCTAGTACGCTACAGACCCGCACAGAGCCATTGGTAAGCAAATAGCATTGGTGGGCGCGTTTTCACGCCTACCACTTGCAAGTGCTAGAGTGCACCCACCACTAATGTGAGCCCTCCTATGAGCCTTTTTTCAGTAGTGCCTGTTTTTAGCAAAGCTAGCATGCCAAAAAATAAGTTGCAACAAGTTGGGTCTAAAGACAATGCGAATACTCAATTGGTCATATTTACATTCTTAGGGTGATAAGTATATATCAACCTTGTTTATGCTTATGAAGATAATTATATATTGGTCAGTACCTGTTGAGGCTCATGTAAACTCTATCCATCAAAGCACGTATAGCAGAAATAAATGAAGGCATTAACAAATCAAATATTTCAGCCCTTTGGTTCAGAAAAAATTGTAGCTAAATCAAATGTAAGCCAATCAGTAATGCCCTTTCATGATGTAAAATATTACATTGCGTCCATGCATCAAAATAAGTAAATTGAGGATAACCAATCAGACATGGGGATGAATTTCATGGAATGCCCCACTTCCAACATCATATTGCAAAATATTTAAACACTACTTGCGACAAATGAATCATGATCCTCTATCATGGTCATTTATTTAGTATGCTACTGATACAATTTTTCAATACTTTTTGATTTGTCTAAATTTGCTATATAGGTAAAGAGTTCAAACCCATCTTTTTAAGCTATGCATGAAATGTATTTTATGTTGCAAGAGTTACATGTATCGTCAATATTAAATAGCCGGCATGAAAGTAAATGTAAATTTCCTCCTATATACTACTGATTGTTCAAAAGTTCCAAAAATAATCTAAATTTCTTCTCTTGCTCTTATGTTTGACTTAGAAAATTGAGTAACTGTACTATTGTTTTGCTTTGTGCAAGTTTTTTTTATTTACGAAGTTGCATTGCACACATTCAAAATGGTGCAAAAAGTTGTGGCATCAATAAATCATAGTCGTATATATGAGACCATTAGAGATGTCACAC